AGTAATATATCATATGGTCATCCGACTCAAAATGTCCCATGCCAGTCCATCTCATCTCACCAATGCCTAGTATGTCAATATTTATGCGTTCCATATCTTCCTTAACAATATCTAATTTTCCTACATTCATGGTTCTCACATTCTATGTCCCAATCACCAGTGTCTGCTCACAACCGTTCCTCTTCCTTTGTATTTCCATACTTGAAAACTCAACCTCCTTTGCCCTTTCTGTTATCTAAATGTGTTCTAACCTTAGTGGAGGCAATTCTCAGAAGGGGATGCAAAGAGGGAACCAAATGTTTCTTAGAGGTCACACAACTTGGCTTCCCATCACATTAAGTCAGCTTTAGCTTTTAATTGTCACCACCTTCTTTATAACTCTTCTTTGCTCCATTCTCTTCAAAAGACCTGTCAAACTAGTTTGGCTGGAGTCAGAGGGCTGGCCTTTGCCATGAGCAGGAGGACCTTTGCTGTCAGCCTCTTCATTAATTGTGGATACATTTTCTTCCTTCAAGGTGGAAATGTCCCAATGAATAGAGGAGTTCTTACTTTGTTTAGGACGATGAAGTGTGAAATAGATTGTAGATCAAGAATCACTCGGGACACCTCAGCCATTTGTGTTTAGAGATAAAGAATGGCATCTTGTCTAGTGTTCCTACGTAAATCTTCCTTGACCTCCAAAGAAGAAAAAAATTCCTGGGGGATCAGAGGTGAATATGAAGGAAAAATCTGGATATTGTGTGATGGTTTAAGTGTCTCTGATTCAGAGATCTTAATACCTGAGTTATTTTGATTATTTTTCCGTTTCTCGAACAGGTTCTCAATCGAGGAAGATTGAGAAACTATGCTGGAGCAACTCCCAGAGAAGGAGCTGCTGTCATCAATGGAAAGAGGAACACTGCAGCTAGAGCACATTTCTGGGCGATGATTCTCAGAGGATGGCACCTCAGACGTGGGAATTCTCTGGGTTATCCACATGAACAAGAAAACCAAGGAAGTAAAAAAAGATGCTTTTAGTGTATTAACTTTCAAGTGGAGAGACGCATGTCCAATAAGTAGAAATCAATTTTTTAAAAAATTACAATAAATAATGCAAAATCTAAGCCACTATTTATCAGCAAGAACACCAAAGAAGTCAAACACAAGTTTCACTATCCCAAAAGTCCCAATATCAACTAGGAGAAGCAATCTGGAATATGCCTCTACAAACGGAGGACAAAAATATGCTTCATTCAAGTGGTACCATCCTGGCCTGCTGCTTGGTTCCATCCAGAATAAGAAGAGGTAGTAAAACTGGAGGTGGTGACAATTTTTAAGTACCATTCAATGTAGTAAATGACTAAGTAGAAGTTAATGATGTCAAAGAGAACTTAGGAAAAGGTCCACTGAGGAAGTTAAAAAAGGTAAAACCTCCTACTACCTGCAGAGTCATTTTTATATCCTTTTTAAAATTTCCTGTCAATTACTCACTATGAATAACAAGAGTCTTTATTGTTAGTAGTCCACAAAATGCTTATTCATTACTTCATTTCATCCTTCCAACAATCCTGTGAGGTAGATATTATTGTTTGATAAAGAAATTGCTGTTAAAAGACTAATTTATCCAAAGTCAAGCAGTAAGGCTGGGACTCAAACCCATGAAATCTAGGATACCAAGTCCATGTCTTGATTAACTCTATAATTATATCATAGACTTAAGAAGTCTAGCCACTTTGGACAATGCTGTTGTTGTAATGTGTCTTCGAATCACCTGCAACTCATAGCAACCCTATGCACAACAGCCCTAAACCCTGCTCTATCCTGTGCCAATCTTATTGTCTCCGACACACCTATCTCCATTACTGTAGTAACTGAATCAATCCATCTCATCAAGAGTCTTCCTCTCCTGCGCTGTCCCTCCACCCTCCTAAGCATGATGTTCCCTCTTGAAGGACTGATCCTGCCTTGTAACATGTCTAAAGTATGTCTGATGAAGCTTCAGAATACTTGTCTCCAAGGAGCAGCCTGGCGTCACCTTCTAGGACGAACTTGTTTGTTCTCCTAGCAGTCTGTGGTATATTCAATACTCTTCTCCAACACCACAGCTCAAAGGCATCAACTAACTCTCCTTCTTTCATTGCCCAACTAACTCTCCCTAGTCATTGTCCAGCTTTCTGAGACACAGCAAGTAACTGCAAAGACCATGGCCTCTATCAGGTGCACCTTAGTCTCCAGACTGGCATCATTGCTCTTCAGTATTTTGGAGAGGTCTCTGACAGCAAGATTTTCCCAATGCAACTCGTCTTTGGACGATACCCAGGTGAAATCTAACCCACAGAGAAAACAGTCCATTAAAGAAGACTGTGCTAAGACAAAGATATATAAAAAGTCTAGATTGCTAAGAAAGGCTCAACTAGTTCCAATCTCATAGTAATAGTAAAGGAGTATTGGTTTAAGAGGACAAACCTATGACCAGTAAGTCACATGTAAAAGAAATAATACTAAAACATATGGAGAATTCAAAAGGGAGTAAAGAGTTCTGGTCTGTGCAAAAGATTCCTTAATCAAGCATTCTAGTAGAAATTAGCAATTTCCTAAAACTAACTACTAAATCCTAAACAAAGCTAACACTGACCTGATCACTCTCTAGAAAATATCTTGAAAATGTAAGTGTAAATAAGCGTAAAGTACTTACATTACGGTGAGAGGTGCTGGGCTCGTCATCATCACTGCTGACCAGGTCAATGTATTCAAGAACAGGTCTTAAGGGTCCTTCCTATAAAAGAATTGAGCTAATTTGTAATTCAAGAACAGTTATTCATATCCAGGTGGCATTTACAACAGTGCTCTTTTGTTTGGGTGTTCCCTTGGCAAGAATGCATGTAGGTGACACAAAATAATCAGAAACAAAAAAGGAAATGGTTTTTAGAGCAGAAACTAGAAAATATGGAGACCAAAGTAAAGAGTCTAAACTCGTATATAAATAGCACTAGGGCCATATCTATCCACGATGCTGTAGGGAAGTAATATGAGATAATGCTACAAGGAGATGAAGATTTAGACTCAAAAAATCAGAGTTCTTTTAATTAACACCTATATGTTATCCCCAATAAAATACCACGCCTGAGTTTTCTGTCCAGTCTTTACATGCATACTGCTTTCATCATAGAACAGGCCTTAAAAGCCTCGATTTCACGCTCATAATCCAGGCATGAATTAATGCACAAAACAGGTTGGTGGAAAACAGAAGGAGATGATATATGAACAAGAGAACTGTGTAGAATACGAAGGAACAGTTCTAGAAAGTAACCAAAAAATGAATCACCCAAAATAAGAATCAAAGTGGTCTCTCTAGACTCAAGTTTAGATGACTAGAAGAATCTTAAATCCATTAATATAAATCAGGACTGAAGAAAGAGTTATCTGTTTGAATAAACTGAAGTTGAGATGATACATACACAAAACACCTTCAATCTGGGTACAGGCAAACAGGTAGAAATAGACACTTGGGCGTTTCTTTCCTAGAAAACCACTATCCTCTACAACAAACTACTGTGTAAGGGTAACCCAAAATCTAAGGTGCTTAGCAAGACTAAAATAGCTTATAAAAGGTTTTACTCCACTTCCACTTTGTCCTAGGTTCTGTTTGCTTGTGAGGTGACCAGAAACTGCTGATGTGTACTCAAGAAATGAAACAGCCTTCCTTCAGAAAGAATGTAGATGAAAGTAGATGAAGTAGTATGTAAAAATATGTTTACAAATGAACTTGCCGGGATATGTCTTTAATAACTGAGCGAATCAACTACAACTCCAGTGACCCTATGAACAATGGACCTGAACTCTGCTGTATCCTGTGCCATCCTCATCATCTCTGACATACTCAAGCCCATTGAGCTCTCCCTGACGTTCCTTCTCCTCCTTGGCTGACCCTCCACTTTCCTTTACTAGACATCTAATTTTCAAACAATAGTTTAGAGAAAACATCTCTGTTGAAATCTTGTGCTGCTAATAAGATTATCACCATAGATTTCTTCACTTGTTTTTATACATTTATAATAAACTGACAGTGTGGATCACAAGGAATTATGGTTAATATTGAGAAGAATGGGAATACCAGAAATCTTACCTGTGCTCATGTAAAGCTAATGTCTGGAGGACAACCACCTGACCAAACTGATTGGAAGAGATCTGTATGTGTTCCCATTCCAAAGAAAGGTGACCCAAAAGAGTGTGAAAATTATCTAACAGTATCATTAATATCACATGCAAGCAAGATTATAATGAAAAATATCCAAAAATGACTAGAACAGCACATCAACAGAAAACTGCCAGATGTGTGGGATGTGTTTAGAAGTGTTTGTGGCACTAGATATTATAGCAAATGTTAGATGGATCTTGGCTGAAAGCATAGAATACCAGAGGAATGTCTACCCATGTTTCATTGACTATGCAAAGGCATTTAACTATATAGATCACAATAAACTGTGGCTGACTCTGAGAAGAATGGGACTACACTTGGACCAGAAGGTAACTGTCAGAACAGAGCAAGGAAAAGACTGCATGGTTTAAAATCAGGAAGGGTGTATGCCAGGCATGTGTCCTATCTCCGTATCTTTTCAATCTGTAAGTAGAACAGATCATCCAGGAGGCTGGGTGGGCTGTATGAGGAGAAATATGGCATCAGGATTAGAGGTAGTTTCATCAACAACTAGCATTATGCAGATGACACACCCTGTTTGCTGAAACTGAAGACATGCAGCAGGATCGTGTGCTGCAGAAGGTCAAGGATGACACTCTGTAGCAAATAATTCAAGTCATCCTTAGGTTCAGCCAGCAAAGTTGTATCATCAGCTTAACAGATTGTTGATGAGACTTCCTCGAATCCTGATGCCATATTCTTCTATATAAAGTCCAGTCTTCTGAATGCTATGTTCTGCATAGAGATTGAAAAGGTATGGGAAAATGATAAATTCTTGATACACTCTTCTCTTGATTTTTAACCACGTAGTGTTCCCTTGCTCTGTTTTGATAGCAGCTTCCTAGTTTTAAGTTTCTTTTTTATTTTTTATTTTTTTGTGTGTGTGTGTGTGTGTGTGTGTGTGTGTGTGCGCGCGTGTACCGTCAAATTGGATCTGACTGGTACAGGAGGAGATTTGTCCCTCCTTTCCCGGCAGAGCATCTGAGTTTTAAGTTTCTTATGAGTACAATCAAGTGTTCCGGGATTCCCATTCTTCTCAATGTTAGCCACAATTTCTTGTGATCTATACAGTCAAACGCCAGTCCATACTCAGCAAAATACAAACAGATATCCTTCTGGTACTCTTCGATTTTAGCCATGATCCATGGTAATTATACTCTTAGTGCTATGGCCTCTTATAAACCTTGCTTGAGATATTTTTCATAACGACGTACTAGTAAATGAAAACTTATACTCTTCATTTTTTAAAATAATTTTAAATAACAATTTCTTTTCAAACTTTTCACGGTGTGCGTTATATGCCATCGAGTCACCTATGACTCATAACCCTAAACCCTGCTCTATCCTGTGCCAATCTTACTGTCTCTGACACACCTACCGCCATTACCCCAGTCACTGAATCAATCCATCTCATTGAGTATCTTCCTTTCTTGCACTGTCCCTCCACCTTCCCAAGAATAATGTCCCTCTCTAAGGACTGGTTCCCTCCTTGCAACATACCCAGTTTGAAAGAACACAAACTAAGTGTCCTAATGAGTTAAAGAATCCTGTTAACATATTTCAACATACAGAAATATAAAGATTAGGACACAATTTATCTTGTCTTCTGCCCACCTAAAATGTAGATTATACACTGACAATGAAGAAGAAAGCCAACAATCTCAAGAACTCCTACGTAAAAAGATCAGATCAAACAATACAATAATAATACAATTGCCCTAATGTTAAGGGTCCTTTATAAGTCTTAGAAGTTCTCTGCTTGAAAACTTAGAAAAAGATGCGGCTATTACAAGACTTCTACAAACAAAAATAACAATTTCAAAAAACAATTTCAAAGGAGCAAAGTAGCTTAGGTAGTAGTGGTCTCCAGTTACCTGAGATACCACTTTTAGCAGAGTCTTTCTCAAATGATAGCATTTTGAGATGAAATCATTCCCAAATATTACCAGAGAGTCCTTTGGTTTTTCAAATCCAGTGCAGTTCAAGATCCACAAACTCCTTATTAGTGTGAAATGAAGACTCCGAGGTTGCATTATGAATTTGTGATCAAGCAGAGGTGGAGTATAACAGAGGAATCTGTACATCTGAACACACAAGTGATGGCAGACTACGTTCACAAAGGAATAAACCAAAATACATATAGCGTTCCTAATGACGACACTTCACTGTGAACACAATTTGCACTATGTTATAATACAATGATCTCCATAATTAATGTTTTTCAGTTTTTTAAGGCCCTCTGTTGTTAGACCTTTTGGAATTCTGGTGGCTAAAGTGGCAGGCTTCTAAACAAAAGGTTGGAAGTTCAAATCCATCAGTGACTCTACAGGAGAAAGATGGGCAGTCTCTTCTCAAAAATACAGCCTCCAAATCAGATGGAAGGTGGCTAGAAGTCAGAAGAATTTAATGATAATGAGTTTAAGTTCTCCCATCTACTTAGTTGTCCTTTTCTGTATACGTAGCTTTAAAAAATACCATAACTCTTCCAAAACAATTTGAGACCAGAATTTTGTCCAAAGTTAAGTGTCAAACGGCTCTAAATGAATACAGAAAAGGACTGATTGCAAAACCTGTGCTTTAGCACATAGTCACTGTGATTGTTACTGTTGGTGCTCAAAAATTTTAATAAATTTCCTAACACTCTGCAATGCTCCATTGTCTAACATTGTTAGACATTCAATTAACACTGGTTAAAAAGTGAGTTGTTATGTGCCATCGAGTCGGTCGCCTGCGACTCACAGCGACCCTATGTACAACAGCCCTAAACCCTGCTCTATCCTGTGCCAATCTCACTGTCTCCAACACACCTACCTCCATTGTCCCAGTCACTGAAACAATCCATCTCATTCAGGATCTTCCACTCCTGCGCCATCTCTCCACCCTCCCAAGCAAAATTAAAAAAGTGAGTGTCCAAGTTAAATATGACTACATAATGGCTTACCAGCTTTCACAATGTAGGAGGGAAAAAGCCTCACTATCATTGCTACTTACACTAACAAACTGAATGTCATCTTCGTTTTCATCTGTCGTTGACGTAGGTGCTTCAGGCCCAGCTGGAAGGGCACATTCTATTATCTATAAAAAGAAGCCAAAACAAACTTATCGTTACAGTCCCAGGTTCGCAGACTGAGATTTTCTCGAAAGTACACTGCAAGGGCTTGAGGAAACTACCTGCGCACAACTGCACTCAAACCCAACTAAAGAACCCAACTCCCCACGTTATGCCACGAGGTGTCCAGGGGCCCAGTTCCCATCCTCCATCCCTCAGAAGCCCCAAGTCTACCCAGAAGGAATGCATGCTCCCAACACGGGAGCAATCGCGCCTCAAAAACATCGCACCCACTGACAGAGCAAAGCCACAAGGGCCTCAGAAGCCCGGCCAGGGGGTCGGGCGGCCATTGCTGCCGCTGCTGCCTGGCTCAGACGAGCGCCAGGCCCGAGCGCTGCTTCTCGGCCCAAGATGCTCCAGCACCTCGCCCGCGGCCGCAGCACAGCACCAGGCTTCGGGCCCGGGAAACAACACCTTTCGTTCCGGACAAAGTCTCTTCCCGACCCTCCACTACTCACCTCCGACCCCGGGTCTCCCATTTCTCGGGCCGCCTAGCTAACAGCACCACCGCGCCAGCCGTCCGACCACCCTGCCGCCGCTGTCCCTGCAGCCAGAGCCGCCGCCACGACTTCCCTTCCCGCCCAGCGCCGGCCGCCGCCGCGCCCCGCCCCTCCGAGGGCGCCGAGGCTGACGACTCCGCAGGCCAAAAGAGACGTAAAGCCGCTTCAAAGGGCCCTCGGGTCCGCTATTTCGGAGCCCCGTTTCCGCACGCACAGCCTTCACTCCCCTCCGCGCGAAGACTGCTGGGAATTGTAGTTCCCGTAGAGACCTCTTTCTTATCCACCAGAGAGAGGCGCAAAAGGTCCCCTAACTATTACGCATGCGTTCTGCCAGGTGGCCTTGAAGGACAGTATCCTGGGTGGTTCTGGTCTTTTTGGGTCTAGAAGTGCTGGAATATGGAAGGGTATTGGGAGGTGAGGTGTGAATATTTAACTGAATTTAGTCTGATTATAGATAGAAAGCATACAATACTAAAGTGTACTAAATAATAATTTAAATGTTGACCTTAAAGTGTGTGTGTGTGGGGGGGGTGTGTGTGTGTGTGTTAAATGCCTTTCAAGTCCAGTACTTAGTTCATACCGACCCTATGAACAACGAATATTAACCCTGCCCTATCCTGTGTTATTCAAATCATCTACAACATACTTAATTGAGTCCATTACTGTAGTCACTCACAATCTATGTCCTTAAAAGTGAATACTGGAGAATAATTTCTCCTCCACTTTTCTTTCTCACAGTAGAGATTGTGACCAAGAGGTGAATTCAAAAATTAAAGAAATTTAAGATGTTATTATATAACTTTTTTTACCCAAGTTCTATTACCCAGCTCTACCACATAATACTTTTTTCCCCCATAACAAATAATTTTTATAAACCAGAAAAGAGGGTAGTCTTCAGGCCAAGCTGTAGTCTCCATTTGGGGAAGTGGGGGAAAAGGAGAAACTGAAGTCAGAGACTCAATAGAATGGAGTCTTGGCCTACCTATTACGAAGTTGTACAACAGAGATCAGTGTTTGTGGAATGCCAAATATCAAATTTAATATTAATAATAAACCAAATGCTATATCAGGGTATGAGGGAGGCTTAATACAAGATAGAATTCACCCTGTGGTTCTAAGGCATTCCCTAAGAGTCAACATTGTTCATAGTTTTATTTACTGAATCCCTCCCTCCTGCTCTCTTCCTGGATGATCATGCTAATGCAAAACCTATATTTGGACCAGGAGGCAGTCGTCAGAACAGAGCAAGGGAACACTGCATGGTTCAAAATTGGGAAGGGCGTACGCCAGGGATGCATCCTATCTCCATACCTTTTCAACCTATATGCAGAACAGATCATCCGGGAGGCTGGGCTCTATGAGGAGAAATGTGGGGTCAAGATTGGTGGACGATTTATCAACAACCTGCGTTATGCAGATGACACAACCCTGCTTGCTGAAACTGAAGAGGACCCAAAGCACCTGCTGCAGAGTGTCAAGGACTGCAGCCTACAATATGGATTGAGGCTCAATGTCAAGAAGACAAAGATTCTCACCACTGGACCAATTGGCAGCATCAGGATGGATGGTGAAGAGATTGAGATTGTACACAGCTTTAGTTTGCTTGGCTCCGTAGTCAACAGTCTTGGCACCAGCAGCCAGGAAATTAAAAGGCGCATTGCCATGGGAAAGTCTGCTGTTAGGGACCTCTCCAAAGTGCTGAAGAGCAGTGGTGTCTCTCTGGAGACTAAGGTGCGTCTGATACAGGCCATGGTCTTCGCAATCACCTGTTATGCATCAGAGAGTTGGACAATGACCAAGGAGGATAGAAGGAGAATTGATGCCTTTGAGCTGTGTTGCTGGAGAAGAGTATTGAGAATACCATGGACTGCTAGGAAAACAAACAGATTTGTCCTGGAAAGGGTTAAACCGGGTGGCTCCTTGGAGGCAAGGATTCTGAGGCTTCGTCTAACTTACTTTGGACATGTTGTGAAGAGAGACTGGTCCTTGGAGAAGGACATCATGCTTGGGAGGGTGGAGGGACAGCACAGGAGGGGAAGGCCCTCTATGAGGTGGATTGATTCAGTGACTGGGATAATCGGGATGGGAGTGTCAGAGACAGTGCGATTGGCACAGGACAGAGCAGAGTTTAGGGCTGTTGTACATAGGGTCGCTATGAGTCGCAAGCGACTCAGTGGCACATAACAACAACAACAACTCTTTTATGGTTTTCCTTTGTTTACCTTCCTTATCATTCTCAATAAATATTCAGGCATGGCTTCAGGCCTCAGTCATGGAACTGCTGGCCCCCTGTTCTTTACTCTCTCTGTTCTATTTCATTCTTGGTTGTTTGTCTCATTATTAATAATTATAAAAATACTTTACCCTCAATCTGCAGCAAGTGTTAAAATGTATTTTCTCAAAATGTTTTCCCATAGTGCCCTGGTCGCATAGTCTGTAACGAGTGGTGCTGCAAACTGAAGGACAGAACCTTTTAGGAATGTCACATCTCCTTGCAGTTCCAGGAGAGAAAAAAATAATCTCCTCTGGTGTGATTTACTGCCTTCAAAAACCCACTGGAGGATCGGCGATGAGTCACTTCCCACTCTAGAGCAATGAGTTCTTTTTTAAAAAAAGAAATTGCTAATCAAAAGTTTACAGACATATGGGGCTTTTTTAAAAATTACGTGCCAATAGTTGTCAGTTTTTTAAAGAAAAATTTAAGTATAATGATTTTAAATCTTAGACATCTGCTTATACCTGTTAATAGTCTACTGTGTTGTTAAGATGCCATCATGTCAATGAACAATAGATCTGAACCTTGCCCTATTCTGTGTTATCCTTGTCTCTGATATACTTGACCCATTTTTGCAATCACTGCGTCAATCCGTCATGTTTGGGTCATCCTCTTCGTCTGACCCTTCGCTTTCCCCAGCATGATGTCCTTTTCAAGGACTGGCCACTCCTGACAACATGCCAAAATATTTTAAGATGAAGATTCACCATCGTTGCCTCTAAGGTGCACCCTAATTGTACTTCCTCCAAGACAGATTTGTTTGCCATGATCTATTCAGTACTCTTTTCCAACACTACAACTCAAAGGCTTCGATTATTCTTCTGTCATCCTTATTAATTATTAAACTTTCAAATGCATAGAAAGTAAATTTTTTATTACATTTTATTAATTTTAATGAACCTTTACAGAGATTTTGGGTTTCCATTCATTCATTGTTGCACTATTTTCTCTATCCCCCCCGAGTTCATTCCTCTTTTTCCCCCACCTTGAAAGTCTGTTTTAATTGTCCCATTGCCACAATGCTTGTCAAAACCAGTTCTGATTAATCTCCTTTCTCAGTGTGTCCTTTGTCATTCCCTATCACTCTTCCCTGAGAGAGACTTCACCCTGATTCATAAAGAAAAGGGGATGGCGTATTCTCTTAGCTACTTCCTGATGGAAAGAGACGCTGTAGGTTTCAGGGTGAAGATCTCTCAGTACTCTAAAGGACCCCTATGGCAATAGGAAACACTTAGACTATTGTGGAGATTGATTTTGGGATTTAGATGCACTGAGAAAGTAAATTTTAAAAACTGTGGCTTGTATCCTGATAATTGACATCTTTGCTCTTTAGCACTTTGGAGAGGAGGTCCTTGTCAGATTTTTCCAGTGAAACATGTCTTTTGTTTCCTGACTGCTGTTGCCTGTGCCTTTAGTAATTGTAAAAGAAGCCTAGTGTCATAGTTGGTTAAGGAGATCACTGATAAAGGAAAGGTTGGCTGTTCAAAGTCTATCAACTGCTCAGTGGCAGCAGTCAGCTTCTCTACAGCTTTCAGCATTGATAACCCTATAAGGTAGTTATTTTCTGTTACATAGGATTCCTATGAGTCTGACTCAACTGATAGCATTGAGTTTTTATGAAACAAGGAACTTCTTTGGATGGGAAGAAACAAAGCTATTTGTTGGTTGGTCATAGTTCAAAATGAAGACACAAGTATGGAGTATGACTGTGAAGAAATATCTGTTATGCTTTGCTTGATCTATAGACCCATCATTTCACTTTGAGTTAAAATCTTAATTGGGTCTTATAACTGGATTTGAGAACCTCTCACAATTTCGTTCTCTACAATTTGTCCTTAGTGACATCATTATAGATTTCCAGATCTACAACAGTGGCATTGTCAGTATGTTAATACTCTTCTTCAGCTCATTATATATATATTTTAAATAGGTTTATTAGTTTTATATGTCTTTCTTAAACAATTATTTTTAGAGTCATCTGCCTGAACATTGAAAACTTGAAAGCATATGACAAGGGAAAGCTTGTTCTTGACTACAAATACAAGCTCAACATGTAAACTTAATGCAATAATAAGACTCAATAGCCAGCTTAAGCCTGAAATTTATTTCAGGAAAATTAAACTTATAAAAAAGGGTTTCTGCAGCACTCAATCTTATTATGCTTTGATGAAAGCAAAAATACTTCTAAAGCACATTTATTCTTTGTTTTGTTTTGTTTAAATTTATTATTCATTTTAGTAAAAATTTACAGATATTTGGGATTTCCATTCATTCATTGTTGTACTTTTCTCCTCTCCCAACCCTCCCCCCTAGTACACTGCTCTCTTGGAAAAGTAAAAGAAAAATTCTTTCATTGTTTTACAAACCCTCCCCCCAGGTCCACTCCACCATGTAGCCTTCGCTCTAGACTCCTGTCACGACAAAAATACCTAATCACATATCCCCTTTAACCAGTTTTCTCCCTCATCTGTTTCAATGCAGTATACATTATTGAACCCATCTTTCTCAGTGTCTCCCCAATCCCAAAGTCAGTCCTGTTTTACAACAGTGGCACCATGCAGTAATTGTCCTTTTGTGACTGAGATACTTCACTCAGCATAATGTTCTCCAGAGTCACTCATTTTTAATAATATTGCATGAGTTCCTTGTTTTTCAGTGCAGCATAGTATTCCATTTTGTGAATATACCACAGCTTCTCTCCATTCGTTTGTTGATGGGCACTTAGGTTGTTTCCAACTCCTTGCTATTGTGAACAAAGCTGCTATAAA